ATTATTTGACAGGGATGATGGCCCTGGCAGGTGCGCAACCGTTGTCGCAGAAGTTCGAAAAAGTTGCTCGCAAAAGCCCGTTGACAGAAATGTTTAAAAAAGTGTTGGGTTTCCTACGAATCCGCAAGAGCGCGCGGGATGAGATTTTGACATTTTTTTGTTGAAAAACCATTGGTTTTTTGATGTTTTTATGTTAAAATCGCTCCGAACACTAAGTTTTTGGAAGGATTTCGTCTTGCGCGCGCGAATGTCCACTTTACCTTATTTTTTGCAAGGGATTCTTGAAATTTGATTATATTAGAACAAGAAATGTCATTTTCTATTGTTTTTTGCAAGGGAAAGCGGATTACAACAAAACAACCGGATCCTGTACACACCCTCTTTTCTGGGCTTCCTCACGAAAATGATGAAAATGTAGCTGCGGCCTAGGCGGCGCAGGGGGGGCGCGCACCAGGGGGCCCAACAATACTTATTCTTTAGAATAAACAATGTTCAACAACAACTCTAGGTATGTTTTCTGACCACGGCGAGGTCCAGCCACGGAAAAGGCTCCCCGACCTGGATCTAAGGAAGCGGCCGAAAACAAGAGCCGAAAACAAGCGGTCCTTCTCTCAGCGCCTTGACTGTGTTACACCCTGCCGGCGAGGCCTGGAGATCGTGGAGCGTGCTGGCCGGGGAGGAGGGCACGTTGGTGGAGCAGCTGCTCGGTGGCTGGCCGCCCCTGAAGGGCGCGCCGATGGAGCAGCCGCCGGCCGGCGGGCGGCCCTTCTGCCCGGCCAGCGTGGCGTCGACCTGCGCGACGGCCGCGGCGGCCCTGCCGCGCAGCAGCTGCGCCGCCGAGCCGCCGCCGTACCGCCGCGCGCTTGCCGGGCGCTGCCGCGGCACCGCCGCCTGCCCTGCGTCGGCGGGCGGCCCCGGCTGCGGGCGCGCGGCGGGCGGCGCCGCCGCCTCCAAAGGCGCGCCGGGGCGGCCGGCCGGCCGCAGGCGGCGCCGAGGGCGCGCAGGGCGCGCGGCACGGCGCGCCCACGAGCAGGGCGCAGCCGGCCGGCCTCGGCGCGCGGCGCTCTGCGGGAACGCAAGGCCGCGCGAGGCGCTCTGCGCCGCGGCCGCGCGGCCCGGCTGCCGCACCCTCGGGCGCCGTCCGCTAGAGCGCCAAAGCGCCAAGCGCTGCTGGGCGGCTGCTGCAGGTCGCACGGGCCGCCCGCGGCTGGCGGCGGGGAGGCCGGCCGCCGTGCACGGGCCGTCCTGGGCCGGGACGCAGCGGCGGCGTCCCGAGGCCGGGCCTCGAAGGCATGCCACACGGCGTCCGCCAGATCGCGCTCGAGCTCCTCGTCGGCGTGCCTCGCCTCTGCGCCGCCGAGGAGCGTCCACGTCCACAGCTGCCAGAACCCTGCCCCGTATCAAGAAGGGGGAGCGGTGGACGTGGACATCTGGATGCCCACGCGCACCGCTCCCGAAGGCCCTCGAGGGGTCGTGGGGCCCGACTCCGAAGGGCGGAAGAGGTGGACGCGCCCCCTGCGGCGGAGCCTCGCCCAGCGCCTCCGCCAGCGCGTGCATCACGGTCTCCGCGGCAGCCTCCAGGCACTCCGCGGCCTCCCCGCCGCAGCAGCCGCCCAGGTCGGGCCCGCGCGGGAGCCGCTGGGGCGGCGACCGCTCCGCCGGCGCGGCCTCTGGCGGCGCGGGCGCCAGGCGGGGGGGCGGTGCGGAGGCCCGCGCCGACACCGGCCTCAGGGGAGCTCCTCCTCCCGCCTCCGGCATCCTCCCATCAGCCTCCTCCGTCCGGCCTCCTCCTCCGCCTTCCCCTCCGCCTCCTGATCCCCCTCCCCTCCCTCCTCATCCCCTCACTCTCCTCCTCCTCCTCCTCCTCTCCTCCTCTCCTCGACCTCCTCCCTCCTCTCTCCTCCTCCTCCTCCTCCTCCTCCTCCTCCTCTGAATCCTCCTCCTCCCCTCCTCCTCGCTCCTACTCATCCTCTCTTCCTCCAAACTCTCCTCCCTCCTCCCCTACTACTCCTCCTCTCATCCTCCTCTCCGCCTCAGCCTCCTCCTCCCTCCTCCTCCTCCTCCTTACTCCTCCTCCTCCTCCTCCTCCTCCTCCTCCTCCTCCTCCGCCTCTTCCTTCTCCTCCCCCACTTCCTCCTCCGAAAGCCTGGACGCCGAGGGGCGCTGCCGCAGGGGAGCCCCCGGTGGAGCAGGGGGCACCGGCGCGGGCCGCGGGCGCCTGGGCCGAGCGCCGGGCGAGGTGGCCAGCTTGATGTCTGGCCCGTGGTGCTCCCGCAGCGAGTCGGCTCGGGTCTGCGGGGTGACGCCGGGGATGCGGAGGCGCCACCCGTCGCCGAAGGCGTTCCGCTCGAGGAAGACCGCGTCGAGCAGGCGCGACACGAAGCCGTCGGCGAGCTGCTCCTGGAGGGCAGGGCTGCGCGGGCGAGGCCGACACGTAGCATTCCTGTGCTCACACGGTGTGCATGGGTATGTGCATCACACGCATACGGTATCGATCGCATCGTGTCATCATCGCGGGCTGTCTAGCTCCGTTCCTCTGGGGCTCTCCAAGCCCGGTATGCCTCTAATGACCGCCGTTCCTTATGATTTGATGTTTGTTGCCTCTGTCCCTCTCTCTCTCTCTCTCTCTCTCCGTCTTGCTCTGTCTCTCTCTCTCTCTCTTTCTCGCTCTCTCTCTCTCTCTCACTCTTTCTCTCTTTCTCTGTCTCGCTCTCTCTCTCCCTCTCTTTCTCTCTCTCTCTCTCTCTCTCTCGCTCCATCTCCCTCTCTCTCTCTCTCTCCCTCTCTCTCTCTCCATCCCTCGATCTCTCTCTCTCTCTCTCTCTCTCCCTCCTCTTCTCTCTCTCTTCCCTCTTTTTCCCTCTCCCTCTCTCTCTCTCTCTCCCTCTCTCTCTCTCTCTCTCCCTCTCCCTCTTCCTCTGCCTCTCTCCCTGTCCCTCTTCCTCTCTCTCTCTCTCGTTCTCTCGCTCGCTCTATCTCTCTCTCTCTCGCCGTCTCTCTTTCTCTCTCTCTCTCTCTCTCATACTGTCATATATATATGTATGTATGAATACCGTATGTGTCGTATATGTATCTACACATCTACACCTACACATACATATATATATATATATATATATATATATATATATATATATATACAGATATAGCATACACGCTTTATCTCTCTGACTCCCGCAGGAGCGAGCGCGGCCGCGGGTGCAGACCCCCCAGCGGCTCCTCCCCGAAAACGGCACGGGCAGGCTCCCCTTCGCTCCCCACCCCCAGGACGTAACCAACCCGCACCAGGCGCACGCCCTCGGCGCTTCCCGCGCCGCCACGACACGCGCCGCCGCCCCGCCAAAGCGCGCGCGGGGCGGCGACCGCGGCGTGGCCCACCGCGTCGGCCGCGGGGCGGAGCCGCCTGCGGCGGGCAGCCGCGGCAGGCAGCCCCGCGGCCCCTGACGTCGGCGCGGCCCCACCTGGCCGCACGCACACAGGGGGGGGGGGGTGGGAGGGGGGAGGGCGTCTTGGGAGGCGGTTGCTTCTTAGAAGGCGCGGGGCCTTGCAGCTACGAAGAAGGCCCGCCGCTCCTGAGAAGCCGGGGTGCTTCTGAGTCGCCCTCCCCCCTCCCCCCACATCCCCCCCCTCTTGCGCCTGGCTGGCCCACACTGCCGTCGCCACCAGATGTCATCATCGCGTCGCGGACCACGCACTGCTCGCCCAACCCTTGCCGTCGCTCGGCCGCCAATTCCGTGCATGCTTCGGTTTCGTGCGTGCATTTCTTCGCAAGGTTATCCAAGATGCTCCTCGATGGTGCTCACCGAGAAACATGCACACGCCCGAGCGATGCCAAGAACCAATGCTGGGCCACCTCAGACCCCCAACCGGCTCCAACTCCAAACCTCAGAGGCGCCGATAGCCCAGGGGGGAGCAGCACGCAATGCATGCATCCAGGGGCGCCGATGGTACGTGCCTTCGGCGAGGCTCCTGGGCGAATGCGTGCAGCGTCCGCCGCTGGGCGTTCTTCGCCCCCGCCGTCGCCCCCAAAAGAGGAGGAACAGGAGGAGGAGGAGGAGGAGGAGGAGGAGAAGGAGGGGGGAAGGAGGGGGAGGGGAGGAGGAGGAGGAGGAGGAGGAGGGGGGAGGAGGAGGAGGAGGAGGATGGAGGAGGGGAGGAGGAGGAGGAGTGAGCAGCAGGAGGAGGAGGACGACGAGGCCCGCGCCCCGACCGCGCCCGCAGCCGTGGCCCCGACCTGCAGCTGCGCTCCCCGAGCGCGCGGGGGGGGGGCGCGCGCGGGGCGGCGGCTCCAGCGCGCGCGTGTTGCCGGGCGCGGTGGCGTCGGCGGCCTCGGCCTCCCAGTGGGCCGCCTCGCCCCACTCGCCTGGCGCCGGCGATCTGCCGGAGGGCAGCAGAGGGAGCAGGCGGGCAGGCCGATGAGGCGATGCTCGGCCCAGGATCGGGCGCGGCTGTGTTGACTCCTCGGGCGTCACTGCTGGAGCCCGAGGGAAAGACGCACGAAGTCTTCTTCGTGTTCGAGAACGTGATTGGTCAGGCTCGCTTCATACCATTCGGTCTCACAATACTTATTTGCGGGGGCAGTGAACGGGGGGAGTACTGCGAGTTCGTGTCGTGTCGACCCCGGCGTTGGGTCCTGACACCGCGGGGATCATTCCACCTTGAACGAGCGACCGTTTCCGAAACGTCAGATCGTTCAGCATTGACCGCTTCTGGGTCGCCAGCGGTATTCAACGTTGAACACCAGAGGCGGGGTCGTCGTCGGTAGACACGACACGAATCTACCGTGGTGGATGTAGTGAATCATCAAACTCCCCTTCCTCCCCTTCACTCCTTCCCCAACCCTCCTCCTCATCATCCTCATCCTCTCTTGGGGCGCGCGCCCGCTCCTACTCGCCACCCCCTGACTGCGCCAGCGACGGCGACGATTCAACCCACCTCCTGCTCCCCCCTCCTCCTCCTCCTCCTCCTCCTCCTCCTCCTCCTCCTCCTCCTCCTCCTCCTCCTCCTCCGCGGGCCCGGCCACACCGATCCCTTCCATGACGAGCCCCTTCCGCGACGACCCCCTCCCTCGCCATCGAGGCCCCCCCCTTCAGCCGCCTTAACCGCGCGGCGGACGCGAGGCGAGGGGGCCGTCACACAGAGGAGATCGGCCTGCTCTGGGGTCGGCCAGGCCGCTCCTGACCCCCTCCTGCCCCCCCCCTCGGCCACACGTTAGAGAGTCACCCTGGGCAGAAGTGGCCTTTAGCGCACGACTTGTTGGAGGTCGGAAGGGGGTGTGGCATAAAGGGGTATGGTGCCAATCGTGGAAGTGGCGATGCTATCTGCGATAAATAATATCGCCAAATTCCCCTTTACACGAAATTAGAATTAGCACCACGCCCCTTTATACCATACCCCTTTCCTACCTTGACGGGGGACGCTGGGTGGCCGAACCGGGCGCGCAAGCCGCTGCTGCCGCTCCACGTTCAGCGATCGGGGGACCCCCCAGGGCCCGCACCAAAGGTCACTCCAGCGAGAGGTCACTTGTGCGTGTCGTCTTTCTTTTTTTCGCACTGCCGCTGGCCCTACCGGGCGCGTGAAAAGAATTGTGCAGTTCCTGCCATGACACTGCGTCGAGCTCATAGCGACCCCGGGGGCCTTTGCCTGGGTCAAGGGAGGTGTCTGCGCTTACTCAGCCGTACCAAAATTACTGAATCAACCTGCCGGCGCAAGGGGAGGAGGAGGAGGAGGAGGAGGAGGAGGAGGAGGAGGAGGAGGAGAAGGAGGGGAAGGAAACAGAGACAGATATATACAAAATGCATTCACACGTGTCGTCGACTCCTCCCCCAACTCCCTGGGAGGTGCCTTGGTCGATGCCCTCCGGCGCAGAGAGCAGGCCCATGCTCGCGACGAGCCCCCCGGACCTGGCGGTGCGGGGCGGAGGAGCGGAGGGGCCTCGGCCTGGTCGCGGGCCCCTACCCCCCCCCAAAGCCGGAGCAGATGGGCTGCAGCGGCCTCGCAGGGTGGTCTTTCGTCGGGGATGGACAGACCTCCCTTTAGTAAAACGTGGTTTAGTGAAAACGACCTCGGGCCCAAACCTGGCGGGCGCAAGCCTGGATAATGACGGCCGCGGCGCCCTCTCGAGAACCGAAAACGGACAAGTCACTAATCGACGTGTCAGGGTAGGAGGTCTGTCCACCCCCGATTTCGGGGGCGGCCACGCAACCTCACCGGACTCGGCGTCGACCGCTGCGCGAATCAGAAGGTCGCCAGGCAAGCCGGGGAACGGCGCAAGAGCCAACCTGCGAGGAGCAGACTCGTGCAATGAGCCGCGGCCCGAGAGAGGAGCGAGCGCGCTGCACGCGTGAGGAAAGGGAGAAGCGAGGGGGGCGAGAAGGGGAGATATGTTTGGCAGGGCGGACGGGGCGGGCGAGAGCCGAGGCGCGCCACGGCCACGCTCCACAACCACACCCGGAGGGGCGCGGCGTGCAATATATGAGGGGGAGCGGGGCGCAGTGCGCAGCGCCCCCACGGGCTGTGCAGAGCAGGTTGCGGGTTTGGAGGGTGGGGTTTCTGTGCTCGCTCTGGGGGCCTTCCTGGAAACTCTCGCTCCACTCCTGCGCCAAGGCTGCGTCGAACATCCGTCGGCTTGAGTCGAACTTGCGTCGAGCTTGCGTCGAGCCAGAGTCGAACTGGAAACAAACTAGAGTCGAACGGATCCGTTCGGAGGGCCCCAGGAAGATCTCCATGGGACGATTGCGAGAGCAGTGGGCTTGACGACGTCAGGGCCTGCCAGCAGGACCGCACCGCACAGGTTGCACCGCACACGGTGGACCGCACCACAGAGGATGCGCGTCGAGGGTGCCGAACTCCGGCAAGCGTGATGACGCCATCGGAAACCCGGGACTGTAGAAAAAAAAAAAAAAAACCTTTCTCGCCACCGATGAACACGCGCTGGGTCGTGCAGGAGTGCAGGAGTGCCAAGCCCCGGCTCGCCGGGCCCGGGGCCGCGGAGCCCCACCGACCGAGAGAGCACTCGCGGCCCGACGGCGCAGGAGAACGTCGGCGCAGGCCGCGGAGTGGCAGCGCGCACGAGCACGCGCCTCCGTGCACGTGGCGGCCGCAGCAGTGCGGGCAGTCACCCGACCAGTCAACACATCGGGCTCACGAGCTTGATGCAGGGCCTGCGCAGGATATGCTCGCTGACCGAAGGGTTCCAGGAGGGATGCGGACCAGGGATCGACCCGAGCCGTGCGCCTCATCCTCGTTGTATGCCTGTGCTCCCTCGTTCTGTCGTCGTCCCGCGCCTGCTGCAAGACGGAAGTGGAAACGAGAGCGGCCCACGAAATCGCATAAAGCCATTGAGGTCGAGCCCCGACACGGAGTGGAGCGACTGAAAAGGGCACCCGAGTGCAAACGTCTCCTCCGAGGGCAGCCCGCCCTCCTGACACACATAGGGGGCACGGAACGCCATGGAGAGGACAGACGGAGACCCCTGGCAGTGTGGGGGCCGACCTACTGATGAGGCCCGACGGTAGGAGGGAGTTGACCCGTTCCCCTTCACTGATGCTCAAAAGTTTGGAAAACAGAGCCAAAGGGACGCGGATGAGCCCCCCCCAAAAAATAACCTTCTCTGAAACCCTGCAGAATGAAGCAGTCAAATAAGCACGAACGCCTCTCCAGAGGACGTTGGACAGCTTCCAGATGGCACCCAAGATTTCTGTCTGCCGCGTGGTTGATGTCTGGCATGCGTCAGTACCTCCACATTACCACCGAGAGCTCTCTTCGCGGGCGAGTTTGCTGTACGACTCAAAGTCACGACATAATCTGGCTCTCCAGGGCGCTCCATGTGCGACGCTTGCCTGTGACCTCCAGCTGGCGCCTGAGCCTTCCGCCTCAATTGCTCCAACCTGGCACACATACCCAAGTGGGAGTAAGAACCGCGATGATAAAAGAGGAGGACGACAACGACGACGACGGCGACGACGACGACGACGACGAAGGGAAGGCGCCTGCTGCACCGGACGTAGCGCTGGAAAGCCTGCCAGGAGGAGGCGATGGCGGGGGAGAGAAGGCCCGCCCCCTCCCCCAAGGCCGTCCACGGCGACAGTACAGACGAAAAAATCGGCGGAACGGACAGCGAAACCGAAACCGAAACCGAAACCGACAGGTCGCGAGCAGCCTCGAAGGGCGAAGTGACGCAGCTGGCCAAATGCAGCCGACCGCGGCGCAGCCAAACCGACCGAACCGCCAACTCCCTTGCTCCGACCCTCCTCCTCCCTCGAGGAGCCTCGAAGACCGCGGCTCTTGAGCGTGACTGCTGCACCCGCCCTGGCTATCCAGAGGCCCCCCGCAGAGACCTGCGGGAGCCTCCTGGGCTCTCCGCGGGCCTCCTTCCCCGCCTCCTCCTTCCCCACCTCCTCGTCCTCCTCCTCCTCCTCCTCCTCTTCCGCCTCCTACGCCTCCTCCTCCTCCTCATCCGCCTCCACCTCCGCCTCCTGCTCCTCCTCATCATCATCATCATCATCATCATCATCATCATCATCATCATCATCATCATCTCATCATCATCATCATCATCATCATCATCATCATCATCATCATCATCATCATCATCATTCTTCTTCTCCTCCTCCTCTCCTCCTCCCTCCTCCTCCTCCTTCCTCCTCCTCCACCTCCTCCTCCCTCCTCCACCTCCTCCTCCTCTCCTCCGCCTTCGCCTCCGCCTCCGCCTCCGCCTCCGCCTCTCCGCCTCCGCCTCCTCCGCCTCCACCTCCTCCTCCGCCTCCGCCTCCGCCTCCGCCTCCACCTCCCCCCTCCGCCTCCGCCTCCGCGTCCTCCTCCTCCTCCTCCTCCTCCTCTCCTCCTCCTCCTCCTCCTCCTCCTCCTCCTCCCCCGCCTCCGCCTCCGCCTCCGCCTCCGCCTCCGCCTCCTCCTGCGCCTGCGCATCCTCCTCCTCCTACTACTCCTCCTCCTCCCCCTCCTCCTCATATTATCATTCGCCTTCTTCCTAATCGAAGTATTATTAGTAGTAGTACGACAGTTCGTATTAATATTAGTAGTCATAATAGTATCACCAGTAGTAGTCTTGATATCAGCAGTAGTGTTGATAGTATTAGTGTTCTGAGCGTTAGTGTTATTATTCATTGATTCATAGACGTATGCTTAGTCTCTGCGAATTCCTATTCTGATCAGTTGTAGGCGAAGTATGTTTCGTCTGCGTACTAGTATAGTCGTCTTGTTAGTGTTATTCCTCGTATCCTTGTAAGTATCCTGACTGGTATGGTTAGTATACGTAGTGCCGAGATTTGAACGGTTGGTAGGGATGTTATTCTTATGGTGCGCCATATTACTATTATGAATAGGCTCCTGCTTAATAGTATAATATTGATTCGTGCTAGTAACCTTACGAGTGTTAACACTTGTAGTCGTAGTAGTAGCCCGATGTGTCTTAGTAGTATCAGTCCTAGTATTCGTGGTAATCAGTATTCGTTGGATTCTTAGTGTTAGTCGTATTAGTATTAGTATTGTCACTCGTGTCCCTCTGCTTCGTAATACCATTTGTCTTCTCATAAGTATTAGTGCCCCGGCTCTGCGTATTATTCATAGACTTAGCATTCGTAGTTGCATGTTTCTTAGTAATAGTATTCTCAGTAGTCTGATTACTCGTGTCCTTCAATTTGGTGGTATTCAGATTGGTCGTCGCCATAGTATTCGTAGCAGTGGTATCATTAATATAATTCGGATTCGTCTTCGTCTTGGTTAATCAAATGTGTTTGGTGACCTTATTATTGATAGCCTTATTGGTCTTACCGTTAGTATTGTTAGTCGGAATAGTCGTATGAATATGATTGTCGCTAGTATTAGTATTAGTAGTAGTATCAGTGGTCGTTGTCTTCGCCTACGTCTTCTTCTCCTCTCCTCCTCCTCTCCTCATCCGCCCCTCTCATCCTCATCATCCTCCTCCACCGCCTCCGCCTCCGCCTCCGCCTCCGCCTCCTCATCCGCCTCCACATCCGTCTCCTCCTCCTCCACCTCTTAATCCTCAGATTCACCTTACTCATCGTACTCATCTTACTATTCTAACTCATCTAACTACTATACATCCCTTGCTCGTCTGAATATTCTTACTCATCCTCCTCCTCCTCCTCCTCTTCCTCCTCCTCCTCCTCTTCCTCCTCCTCCTCCTCTTCCTCCTCCTCCTCACATCATCTGCATCCTCCTCCTCTCCTTCTCGTCCTCCTCCGCCTCCTCCTCCTTCTCCGCCTCCTCCTCCGCCTCATCCCCTTCCTCCCCTCCTCCCCTCCTCCTCCTCCTCCTCCTCCTCCGCCTCCATTTTGGCTCAAGCGTTCGCAAGGTGCCGCCGTCCCGCTGCGTGATGGCTGCGCCTAGAGGGGCTCGCGCGCCGATGTCCGCCGCCGCCACGCTCGTGGAGGCGGCCGTGCGCGGCGCTGTCCTGGGTGGGGCCCCGCGCCGCACCGTCGCCGCGGTGGCGCGGTCGGCCGTCTCGGCAGCGCTCTTCGCGGAGCGCGCCGAGGCGCCCGCGCCGCCGCCGCGCGACGCTGCTGCCGGTGTTGCTCCTGACGTTCCTACCGGACCGGTGCCCGATGCTGGGGCTGCCGCCGACCCGCGCCCTGCGGCGCGGGCCGCGAAGCGGCGGCGGCGGCGGCAGAGGCGCGCGGCGCGCAAGGAGGCTGGCGCTGGTGCGCACGCCGAGCCTGGCGCCCACGGGATGGAGGTGGAGCTCGGCGACGAGTTCAACGAGTTCAACGACGAGTGGGCTGACGCGGCGCGTCGGCCTGCAGCCGCGGCGGCGGCTGCGCCGAAGGCGCCCGTGGCGCCTGCTGGTGCGGAGGCTGCTGGGCCGAAGCTGGCGGAGATGTCGGAGGCTGTCGCTGCGGCGTGCGTGCGCGCCCTCGCGGACCTGCCCGACGCGGAGCCAGCGACGATCGAGAAGGCGCTGGAGGCGGAGTTCCGCGCCAGCGGCATCGGCATCGGCTCCGATGCGGCAGGGAGTGGCGGCCGCCCGCTGCGGTAGCCACCCGTGCCACCCTGGGCATCGCTCGTGGAGGAGGTCTGCTCCCGCGAGGTGCCCGCGCCGAGTGCGCCCGGTGTTCGCGCTGGCCTTCGGCATCCATGTGGTCCTCTTCTGAGGGCCGCCCGCTGGACGGGCCCGTCGTCTCCCAGGGCGACCCCTGAGACCCCAGCTTGGCGCGGGGCTACTTGGCGGGCGTGTGGGAGGCGACGAGTCCGCCCAGCCTTGGACGACCCCGCCGTCTCCCTGGCGCCCCCTTCGGGGGGAGTCGGGGCGGCGTCGAGGCCGCCCACTCCTCTGCGCTCAGTCTGTGCCTCAGACGCGGCCTCCGATGACGCTCCTGACGCTCCTCCTCCGCCTCCGCCTCCTCCTCCTCCTCTTCCTCCTCCTCCTCCTCCTCCTCCGCCTCCACCTCCGCCTCCGCCTCCACCTCCGCCTCCGCCTCCTCCTCCGCCTCCGCCTCCGCCTCCACCTCCGCCTCTGCCTCCGCCTCCGCCTCCACCTCCGCCTCCGCCTCCGCCTCCGCCTCCGCCTCCTCCTCCTCCGCCTCCTCCTCCTCCTCCTCGTCTTCTGATTCGTTTATAGTCTTAGTGGCCTTACTATTATTATCCGTAGCATTCGCATCATTATTAGTTTGTTTTTCGTATAAGTCGTGTTCGTCTCATCCTTCTGAGTACGTGTAGTATCCTTAGTCGCTCTAGTGATGCTCTTATGACTAGTAATAGTAACAGTGGTGTTCGTATGATTGGTAGTGTTATTAAATCCCCTACATAGGCTCTGCCTAGAAGGTTCTTACTCTCTTAGCTTAAAGGGCCGGGCAGTGCTAACCGCCCTGGGCGGTTCCCCCAGTCCCCGCCCCGCGGTTCCCCCAGTCCCCTGAGAGCTTTAGCTTTAGCTTTAGCTTTAGCTTAGCTTTAGCTTAGCTGTAGCTTAGCTTCAGCTTAGCTTTAGCTTAGATTTAGCTTAGCTTCAGCTTAGCTTCAGCTTAGCTTCAGCGTAGCTTTAGCTTGGCTTTAGCTTAGCGGCACCTTAGCGTTAGCTTAGCTTTAGCGTAGCTTTAACTTTAGCTTTAGCTTAGCTTTAGCTTAGCTTCAGCTTAGCTTTAGCGTAGCTTCAGCTTAGCTTCAGCTTAGCTTTAGCTTAGCTTTAGCTTAGCTGTACCTTAGCTGTACCTTAGCTTTAGCTTAGCTTTAGCTTAGCTGTAGCTTGGCTTTAGCTGAGCTGCACCTTAGCTTTAGCTTAGTTTTAGCTTAGCGTTAGCTTAGTTTTAGCTTAGCTGTAGCTTAGCCTTTACCGTAGCTTTAGCTTAGCTTTAGCTTAGCGTTAGCTTAGCCTTTACCGTAGCTTTAGCTTAGCTTTAGCTTATCTGCACCTTAGCTGTAGCTCAGGTTTAGCTTAGCGGTAGCTTAGCCTTAGCTTAGCCTTAGCTTAGCTTTAGCTTAGCTTTAACTTAGCTTTAACTTAGCTTCGTATTAGCTTTAGCTTACCTTGAGCTTAGCTTAGCTTAGCTTTAGCTTAGCTTTAGCTTAGTTTTAGCTTAGCTTTAGCTTAGCTTTAGTTTAGTTTTAACTTAGCTTTAGCTTAGCTTTAGCTTTACTGTTCGTACTAATGCTGCTTTCCTAGGGGCTCCAACTCCTATGTAGGGTCGCACTGGGACAATTTACTAGTCATGTTCGTCTGCTGCGTCTTAGTCGCGTTCGCCCTCGTCGTCTTCGTCGCAGTATTACTGTTATTAGTCGTGTTACACTTCTGATGAATCGTAGTATGCTTATGTTTGTTCGTATCAGTATGCGTTGCCGTATTCCTATTGTTCGTCGTCGTGGTTTTCGTCTTCGTTGTATGATCAGTATTCGTACTCGTCGTCGAAATAGTCGGCCAAAATAGTTGCACGCCTTAGGAGTATTATGTGTCTGGGTCTCAATAGACATTATTCTTAACGTTGCTATTAGTGTACGTGCTAGTCTCCTTACATGTATGATTGTTGTTGTGCTTATTAGTATTCGTACTATGCTTATGATGTGTCTTATCACTATCGTTCTTATTCGTGCTATTCGTAGCAGTACTAGTAGTAGTACGAATGATACTAATAATAATACGAATAATAATACTAATAATACTAATAATAATAATAATAATAATAATAATAATAATAATAATAATACGAATGATAATCACGCTCTTTTTATGACTAGAACCACGCGCGCGCTTCGCGCGCTTAGGTTCTAGCTAGGAGGCGAGCTTGAGTCAACGAAAGTCGCAGGGAAGGGGGCAGGGGGAAGAAGGCCAGAGAACGCTGAAGGATACAAATACTGGAACCCTCTTGTGATTTTGTGGGGGGCCTCGTCCGGCCGCTCGCTGGGAGTTTGACGTAGCTTCTCGGGAGCCTCTGAACCTGTCGGGGGCCTCCTGGAAGCAGGTTCGAAGCATTTTGGGGGCCGATTTGGGGCTTCTCGGGGCCTCCTTTGGGCCTCTTGGGGGTCTCCTGGGGCCTCTTGAGGGGCCTCCTTGGGGCCTCCTGGCGGCCTCTTGGGGCGGAAGGCTCGAGCTTGCGGTTCGTGGTCCCCCTCTGGGCCCCCTCTTGGGCCCGTCTTGGGGCCCTCTTGGGCCATCTTGGGCGCCTCTTGGGCCGTCTTGGGGCCCTCTTGGGCTGTCCTGGGGCCCTCTTGGAAGCTTCTTGGGCCGTCTTGGGGCGGTCTTGGACCTCTTGGGGTGCCTCTCGGAACGTCTTGGGCTGATTTTGGAAGCCTTTTGGCGCCTCTGGGTGGCGTTTTGGCGCCTCCTGGGATATGTTGGGCCAGAAGCTCGGAATTCGAGAGTGGCTGTCTCCTTCTGGGACCCCTCTCGAAGTCGTCTTGGGGTTCTCTTGGGCCGTCTTGGGGCCGTCCTGAGCCACTCGTGCGCAGCCTTGGAGCGCTCCCGGAGGCCTCCTAGGCCGTCTTGGAGGCCTCTTGGGCCGTCTTGGACGCGGTGAAAGCCCAAGATGCGAACATGCGAAAAATATACGTTTTCCCATAGGAATGGCACGATTTTTGTTTCTTGGACCTCTCTTGGGGTGCCTCTCGGAACGTCTTGGGGTGCTTTTGGGAGCCTTTTGGCGCCTCTTGGCGGCATTTTGGCGCCTCCTGGAGCCTCTTGGGCCGGAAGCTCGGAATTCGAGGTTGGCTTTCTCCGTCTGGGACCCCTCTCGAACTCGTCTTGGGGCTCTCTTCGGCCGTCTTGGGGCCGTCCTGGGACACTCGTGCGCAGCCTTGGAGCGCTCCCGGAGGCCTCGTAGACCGTCTTGGGCGCCTCTTGGGCCGTCTTGGACGCGGTGAAAACCCAAGAGGCGAACATGCGAAAAATATACGTTTTCCCATAGAATGGCACGATTTTTGCTTCTTGGGCCTCTCTTGGGCTGCCTCTCGGAGCGTCTTGGAGACTTCTGGGACCTTCTTGGTGTCATGACAGGCGTCTTGGAAGGCATCTGGAGCCATCGGAGCGCGTTTCGAAGCCGCCTGCGAACGATCTTGGACGGCGTCCGGCGGTCCGACGAGCCTCCGGGCCCCCCGGAGCCCACATTTGTGGTCGGGGTCCCGGCCCCGGGCCCCCGGACACAGTGCGCCGTTATCTGTGTATGATTAGTAATCGTATTCATACTATGTTTCCTCCTCCTCCTCCTCCTCCTCCGCCTCCGCCTCCTCCGCCTCCTCCTCCTCCTCCTCCGCCTCCCCCTCCTGCTCCTCCTCCTCCTCCTCCTCGTCCTCCGCCTCCACCTCCACCTCCTTATCATCCTCCCCCTCCTTCTCTTCCTCCTCCTCATCCTCCTTCTCCTCCTCCTCTTCTTCTTCTTCTTCTTCTTCTTCTCCTTCTT